TCACGTGTCTGTCCTATTCTGTGGCATCGATCTTGTGCTTGTTGATCCATGGCAGGATTCCAGTCACTATCATAAAAGATAACAGTATCCGCCCCAACAAGATTGATGCCAACACCACCACTGCGGGTTGATAATATAAATAGAAAAATCTTTGGGTTTGTATTAAACCGCTGCATCAATGTTTGCCTCTCTTCTGGCTGGGTGGATCCATCTAAACGCATGTAAGTGTAACCATACAAATTTATGAAAGCCTCCAAGATATCAAGCATCTTTGTCATTTGGGTGAATATTAGTGCCCGGTGACCTTCTGACTTCAATCGCCGAAGCAAAACTGCAAGCTCCTGCAACTTACCACAGTCAAATTGTATGAGTCGCCTGTCAGGAAAATATACTTGCCTGCGGACAATTGCAGGGCGCAAAGGTGTTAGAAGAGGAGACAAAATTTCAGTGCATCTTTTCTTATAAGTTGGGTGCAGAAACACAGAAGTTCCAGTTTTACTGCACCAGCAAACAGGTGGTGGTGCCCGTGCAGCTGGGATTGCAAACATGAAGGATTCGACCTGGTCAATCATTTTTTGGAAGCGTTCAACTGGCGACAGTACAATGTCAGCAAGCTTAGAGGAGTTCGACAAAGGGTTTCCCTTTTGATGTTGAACATCATACACAGGTTGGCTTACAGTAATGAGAGCCTGTAAAGTAGTTGAGTATATTGGTTTTTTCCTGCACCTCAAGGAATTCCACCATGCAACGGATGCTGCCCATTCCTTTGCTTGTCGTAGTCTCTCCTCCAAAAGTGCCTTTCGGATCCCTTCAAAGATGTTTGTTTCTTGCAATTTTTTCTGATGCTTAAAACCATGCTCAATTTCATCTATATTAACAAGGTCAGCAGCACGTCCCTCAATTAAGCTCGAGGGCGTAGCAATAGCTTGAACTTCTTCATTCTCCCATGAAGTCATGCTGAAATCTAGATGGGTAAATAAAAATCCCAAACCACTGAGGTCAACAGTAGAAAATAGGTCCGGTGTAAGCACTGAGCAAATAGAAGAACTCAATTGGATGTTAATGCCAGTCATATCAAAAGAACTAACAATTGGACGACCTTCAAACAAATCAGGATGGTTGCAAACTTTGCGAAGTTGCATTATAACACTAATCATTCCGAAAAAATTGGCACTCGCTAAAGTAGCCTGTGTCTCTGTGCTAGCAATAAAATCTTCATACAGGTTACGCTGTCTCCTTGAGAGTCTACAGTAAATTACATGCTCATGTTTCATAGGAAGCTGCTTCTCCACATCTCTTTTCAATCGACGGAGAATAAATGGACGAAGGACATTATGCAAGCGATCAACAACTTCCTTGTTTACTTTTTCTTGTCCCTCTACCATTCCAGATATTGGATTACCAAACCAATCCTTGAATTCCTGATGAGACTGAAAAATGTGTGGCATCAAGAAATGCATTAAAGACCATAGTTCCATAAGATCATTCTGCAGTGGTGTACCAGTTAAAAGGATACGCCGTTTTGAATTGAAATTAAGAAGAGTTTGCCATCTCTGAGACTTCCAGTTTTTTATCAAATGAGCTTCATCCAAAATCAAGTATTTCCATTTCTTCCGCTTAAAAACTTTAGAATCTTGTATAACAAGTCTGTAAGTCGTTATGCATACATGGAAAGAATTAGGTTTCATCCACCCTTGCCTCTTAATTTTCCGCTCTTTTGCGCTTCCAAAATATGTTAATATTTTAAAAGCAGGACACCATTTGAGAAACTCAGTTTCCCAGTTGAGCATGACACTGGTTGGGACAACAATGAGATGTGGGGCCCATATACCCTTTTCACATGCGAGGTGTGCTAGAAGAGCAATTGTCATAATAGTTTTCCCAAGCCCCATTTCATCAGCTAGAATCCCATTAAGTCTTTTCTCATACATTGTAACAAGCCAGTCCAATCCAATATGCTGATATTCACGAAGAGGGTACTTAAGAAGAAAAGGAAATTTTGTACGCACTTTGGTTGTCGAGAATGTGTTGCCAGTTGGCTGTGCAGATCTTGCAGCAGCAGCTGCATCAGCAATTCTATTCTCACTCTCTGTTCCATCTTCCAATATTATCTTAGGTTCTACTACCTCCTCTGTAATGGGACCCACAACATGCTGAAGTTCACTAGGTTTGTCATCTTCCTCCATTGAAACATGCTGCTGCTTTGGTTCGTCATCTTCCTCCATTGGAACATGTTGCTGCTTTGGTTCAGCATCTTCCATTGCTGGAGAAGATAATAAATCCTCAGAAGCTGATGCACATGTAGACTCAGAGTCATCCTCCTCGGCATCTTCATCAATATTGCATTCCTGACAAACAGAAGCAGATGACCAAGGAAAATCAAAACATGATGTGAGCTATCAAGCAACAAGTGAAAGCACTCCTCAACATACCTGTTTATACCTTGCAAGCAATTCTTGTAAAGGAATTTCGCTCTCCTTCTGCAGTAACACAACCTGCAAAATTGTAGCTTAATTTACAGGAACTAAATTTCAAGTTAATCCAAAACCATTGAGACAAAAATCACTAATCAGAATATATCTAAATACATAATGGAAAAAGAAACTAAACTATGCATAGATAAATGATTAGAGAACTAATGTTATGTTTGGATTGAGGGGATGTGATGGGAGGTGGATGGAAGTGCAAGTATTCCCCTTGTTTGGTGTTTAATAAATACAAGGGGAAGGGGTCAAAGAGATGTCCAAACCCCTTTATTCCACTTTTTATTCACCTCCAGAATCGGTCGATTTTGGAAGGGAAGTGAAGGAGTTAGTGATTACTAAATTCGCACCACCTCTAACAAAAAGTGAATTCCAGTTATACCCATTTCTATACATAAGAACAATATTTTCCTATCTCCCTTCTCTTCCCTTCTCTCCAAAACAATATTACCTCCCTTCCCTTCCTCTTCCCTCCCTTTATTGTCTAAACAAAAGAAAGGGTAACCCTTCCCTTAGCTTTCTTTCCATTCCCCTCTTGCCTACACTTTCCTTCCTCTTCCCCTTCCCTTGCATCCAAAGAGTGTGAAAGATGCACTCTACCTCATCTATGGGCTCATTTGATTCAGCCTTTGCCAGTTCTTCCTCCTCTGACAAGGTTGTCTCATCATCCTGAAAATTGACATCAAATGAGTGAACATAACCATGAAGATGCATGTGCATATATCAAAACATAAGTCACCACAGGTATGCATCCATAGTAGAGCAGATTTCCGGTGATAATAAGCAGATAAGAATATTAAATCATCTCACAACTACATTTTAATTCCAAAGATTTTTATTTGCCAAATTTCCACACGCACAAAAAAAAAAAAAAAAAAAAAAAAAAAAAAAAAAACCGAACACCAGAAACAAAAACAAAAACAAAAACTTGGCCATTACAAACCTAATTATTAGTTAACCTAGACTAGTAAACTGCAGGTCTGCATAGCACTTTCAACTAAACTTGCCAGCCAAGTAGCATTCTTTTATCAACAACAATCTAATAAATGTACTGCACATAGTTGCAGTTAATAAGATGAAACAGGCAGTCATCCATCCCTTAAAAACTGAAAGAGTTTAACTTATATAAGACACGGAAAACAGAATCCATAATTGAGCATGCTTACGAAGCACATACCTTTTCTTCTCCAGCTGCAAGAACAAAATCCCCATCCTCCTACATAAATTGGATACAAAAGAAAAGCAGCTTATTATCAACCCAAAAGGGACAACTAACCAGAAGAGCAAGAATAATAATTGTTGTTAGATTTGACACCATTAGATTTGACAATAGTTCATCTAACAAGAATGACCACAGCTATCAAACCATCAAAGTATGCATGTAAGACAAAGCATTATGAATAACATATTTTCCCAGAGTGAAACAAATAAAACCTATTGTTACCTAAGCTCTTCTGTTTTCCACTACCCATGTCAACAAAACACTGCAATGTAATGGGAATTTGTATAGGATATGTTTCTCCCACATACCTGACATGTATCAAAACCTAATGAGCCATTCCTCAATATTAAGGATGGAATAAGAACAAAATGTTTAGATTTAACAACAGAGGGTATCTTGCTACTTGCACGAGAGACAATTAGTAAAACCTTTCTAACACAGCATCCCACTCTATTTATATTCCAATTAAGTATATCCTTAATATTACTCTGCATGTTCAACGTCAAGTATAAACCATTCTATCTCCATGCCCAACGTAATAAGATCAAGTGAATCCACATTGGCATACAGTGGTGCAGATGGAGAATTCAACTAGCTACCAGAGAGTAAGGTTAACAAAGAGTGAAAATTACTATAGGCTGTACCTGATTCATGTTTAAACTCCAGTCTCTGCAAATACACCTTACTCATGTCATATATTTTGGCATAGTACTGCCCTCAAACTAGAACTCCAATTTAATAAAGACCACAGATGTTTCTCCACAAGGAAACCTCATACAGAACCAACTCTTACAGAAACAGACATTGGTAATCAGCACATTATTGTCACCAATGCACTTACTGCGACATCAACCTCAGGGGGTCTGCTTGGTGGTCAACTCCTGAGGCTTGTGGGTGTGGTCCCTCCAAGGTCTCGGGTTCAAAACCTCCATGTTGCAAACAATCTCTTGGGGCCAAGTCCATACCGGGCAAAAGCCCTGGCTTTAATTGGAACCAACACAAGTGGACGGTGGGATTGGTCCCCAAGATTAGTCAGTTCAATGAGCCAGATACCGAGTTATCAAAAATACAAAAGCAACTACGACATCACAGGTAAAGTGACAACAGAGAAATCTAAACCATATTGAGTGGTTTTATGGTTATATGTTTAAACAAGGAAACAAGCAGTCTAAAAAGGCATACTCATCCTAAGTCACAACAGAAACAGAAATAAAATAGCGTCCCTTTTTTCTTTACCACTATACAACCAGCAATGCCTATTTGCTACTAATCAGCTTTGACAGATTCAGAGCCAAAACAACATTTCTTTTACTAATTATCTCCTCAGCTGCAGACACTCTATAAACAAGAATCCAATAAAATCGAATTCTTAACTATGGACTAAAAAAAAAAAAAGAAAAGCACTCCACCACACAGCCTTGTTCTTATCCAACACAAACTGTCAAGTTTGAGACCAGTATAAAACCTTGCACTCCACATAACTCCTCCCTCATAAGAGAGCATCTATGAAGCACGGGTACTCCAAAAATAGTGCCGTATGAGTACCGGGTACTTACCGGGTGCGGGTACGCGTACCGGGTACGGCAAAAGGGGTCCGGTACGTTTGGTTCATTCGGGTACGGCATGGGTATGGCATGGGTACGCCATGGGTACACCGGGGCCTTTTTTTTTTTTTTTTTTTTTTTTGTGCCCTTGCAAATCAGCAATTTTATTTATTTTTTTTTTTATTTTTTTGTTGTCCTTGCAGATCAGCAATTTTGATGTTTCTCCGTTATCCTATCTATTTGTATGAATTGTATAAGCATATCAACAAATGATTTTGATGTTTTTAAAAAGCAATTTGAACAAAAAAAAAAAAAACAAGGCTTATAAAGAGCAATTCCGTGTATGACTATGCATTATACTTTTGCTTCAAATCCTCTTAGAATTTCTTTATAAAATCTTTAATCATAACAAACTTTTAAAGTTTATGCACAAAACATTAAAAATTGATACGGTTTTAGTTGATTAGTAGTGGTTGGGAATGATGCAATTTTATGTATTATGCAAATTGCAATTGACAATCTGCCTCAATTGAGAATTTGGTCTCACCCTACAAAAATAGCAAATTGATGAGCAAAAAGAAAGATTTTAAAAATAAATTATGATCACAAATTCACAGTACGTAACATGTCAAAATGAGAGATTTCACAAATATTATTTTTAACGCTTAATGATTTTAAATTATTGGAAAATGAGTAGTTCTCTTTTTAATTTTGATATTTAATTTTAATTTTAATTTTAATTTGTAGGTTGAATCATTTAACCATAATTATATAAATATATATATATATATATATCGGCGTATCGCAGCCGTACCCGTATCATACTTTTTTTGAGTTTTGCCATATCGGCGTACCCGCACCCGCACCCGCACCGTACTCGTACCCGCACCCGTGCTTCCTTGGATAGCATGCAGCAGCCCCAGAAGGCACAAAAAATATTTCAGATCATATTGGCCCACTGATCAACCATTGTCTCTCCTAAGATTGATTTTCAAGTTACAGCGCCCACTAACATAGTCATATATCAATTAATTAAGCATTCCATCCCAACAAACCTTTGAAACTTCCAAGTGACTTCAGAAATCTCAGTTTGTCTACCCTAAATTGCTAATCTTTCTCTTCCCTAGAAGTCCCCTTGCTGTGTTGGGTATCAACAAGAATGTTACAGAATGCATAATCGATATTTCAAAATTCAATACCCTTCATATCCAGAAGCTTTTAAGTGTACATAAAATAATAATAAATAGTTAATTTTAGACTTTAGACTTCATCTGCACAGCCCTACTGTCATTACCACATAAGTACACCAAGAAAAAGAAGAAATCCAGTGCATACATGCACAGATTGATTTAAGATGGCAAGCTCTATGACTACTTAATACCACTAGTATTTCTTTTGTTCCTTGTTCTCAATGCTAAGCAATTATTTACAGTTAGTAAGGGAAAACAGAGTTCACACTTCAGTCACCAAGTCTGCAATTTTGAATCATAGCATATGAAGAAGCTCCAAAAGCTGCTGCTAATTTAACAGTGCATTGAAGTTACCTCAAATGGCACGATATAAACCACAAGAGAAAGTTGGCAGACTTCTACAGTTGAAGTTGAAGGGGTTAAGATGATATTCAATGACAGTTGAGGGCGTAAAGTGTAATTAACACTAAACAATTTAGACTTAATATTGAAATGAAACTTTTATAGGACCTATCAGTTGGGGGAGTAAAGTGGCTGATTAGTAGCTCTTAAACTAATACCTAATTTTTAAAGAATGGCATGCCACCATTCTTAAACTTAAGTATAATACAATACTACAAATTATAAAAAGGAAAAACTACTTTAACCCCAAAACTATTACTCACAGTACCCCTTTAACTGAAAGAAGTTACTCTTTGCCACCTTGAACTATCAATTTGTATTATGACGGAAAGTTGATGTGATTTGGATCTAACATCTCAAATATTGTAAAATGCTTAAAATCACCTTAACACGTGACCATTTCCCTTCTTTTAAAATGATAATGATTAATAGGGCATGGGGTAAAATGTAATTTATCCTTTTAAAACACACAGTTTTATGAATATATCGTGGCTATATCTGATTTTCATAAGTTCTGCAGTATAGTTGTATCTGTATTGTATCCATACCCCTCCCTGTCTATATCCTTATTTGTAAAAGGCGTACAACTTGGGTGGGCCCAATCCAGGCCCAGCCTGAACTGTTTTGGGGCTTGGGCAACATATTTTTGAATTCGACTCAGATTTGGTTAGAAATTCAAAAGGCCGAATTAAATTCAGGCAAGGCTTGAGTAGAGACAACACACAACCCGAGTAACTCAAAGCTCAATTTGTATATATAACTATATAAAAATAAAAACATTAAATATATGATAATAAGATCATGTTAGAATAATTTGGATCATTAGATTATTTTCACTACATATATAATATATACACAAGTAACACAACACAAACCTTAGCCTTTCTTTTCTCACTCAGAAATGATAAAAGACTACTGCAACGGCACATCGGTTTCTCGATTTTCATCTCTCCTCTCTGTCTCTCTCACAACATATAAATTATTTATTTTGATGTTAATAATGATTTTATCAAAAAAAAAATTATTAATAACGTTTAATTTTAACAAATTAATCAACCTAGCTGCATAAACACAAAACAAACAAAAAACTATAATTTTTTTGTTATGTAGGGTATCCTTGGCCAGCTTAGCGCAAACAACCTCAGTTGCAAGTCCAACTTGGGCAACTCGGGTTGGGCCTAGACAACCTCTCAATCCAACCAATCCCACCCAATTTGCACCCCTAAATTGTACTTCATAAGGTCTAGAAAATGGACGGCAATCATGGCTTTTATTGTGTGTGCTCTATACAGAAATGCAGATAATGGTATGACTTCTTTACAATGCACTTTAGACTAGTTGTGGTTTAGCTAATCATTGACATTTTTAAATTCTTTCAAATGGATGGCAAAATTTATATAAAAAAATCAAAATAAAAATATTTATTACGCTAGTCCAAAACAATAATTTGGTACGCACTGGTGCCTGTATGAATTATACCTTTATATTTATATTTATTTTAAATAATAATAAAAAACAAAAAGGCAAGACAAAACAAAACAAACGTAACTCATATAACACAAAACCCAACCAAAAAAAAGCTCAATAAAATAATGGGACAATTGCAAAAAAATGGTATAAACTCAAAATAATTACAAAGAGATGGAAGTACAAGACTTAATTGCACAATTTTTAATACATAAATTAGTTGCACTTCCATGGCATTGCAATTATTTTGTGTTGATGCCACTTTTTTGCAATTCTCCCTAAAAAATCAAAAATTTAATTTAGCTAATCCAAGATTAAGAAAAGAAACGAAACTTTTAAAAAAGTAAAATATAAATCTATGTATATTTATTCTAACCTGTTCATCATGAAAGTCGTATAGCATATGCTTTTTGTACAGCCCTTGAGAACTTTTTGATAGATTTCCAATTTTGTTTGCTTCAACTTCTGAATTATGGTTTTCTAAAATTGATATACTACCATTACTTTCACCCTGTGATGTGAAAGGAAAACATATTACATTGAGTACTAAACTTGTTTCACTAATCAAGACAATAACCATAAACACATACAACTTACACAACGACGACCAGGGACTGCAAGTGAGTTGCCTTCATCAATCTTCGGGGGAGAAGAAAGACCGTCACTTCTACCTGCAAAGAAAGTATTCCAACATCTTAGGGACAATCACACGGTTATCAAAATCAAACAGTTAACTGCTACTTACTCTCACTGTCGTCTTCTCCCTTCTGAGTTGGCTCAGCACCATGCACCTTCAGTTCTGGACTACTTTCTCTGCTAGCTGATAATGGTCATATTGATCATGATGAATGTCATAAAAAAGATGAAGAATAGATGGCGTCCAATCAACGTGTATATGAAGTACACGTGACCACAGAATGTGTAGAAACATGTGTGTGTGTGTGTGTGTGTGTGTGAGAGAGAGAGAGAGAGAGAGAGAGAGACTACTAATTTTATTGAATTCAATTATTTAGCACCCTTTTTCATAAGTAACAATTAGCATGTAATTTTATTGATTGGAACATAAAGTTTATTGGATAAAGCATTGAGAGAATGAAAACAGGAGTCTGAAGAAGAAAGTGAACAATAAATTATTCACCTTTATCCATATCATATCGTTTGAGTAGCTCTTCAAGAGGTAGATCTACTTCATTGTGCAGAGCAACGAGTTCTTCTAGCCGTTCTTCTTCAGTAATAAAAGCTTCATCTTCCTCAAGAGTATGCTCGTCATCTTCCTAGAGCGCCAGCATCATAACAATGGAAACATTTGTAAGTGCAGGCCCAAGGACAATACAAATAGCACATGGTAAGCCAACGTTATAGTCTAATTGTTTGACAGAAGCTGTTTAGTTTCAAGAAGCAACCACAATCCACCTTTTAAATAATAAAAGGTACTAATATCTCCAATTGTAAAGAGCAACAACAAAATCAACACTAGACTGAAGACTTCTAATATGGTCACACAGAAGAATACAGTTTGGCCAGAGCACAAAAGCAGCTTATGGGGCACATCAATAGAAAACAACATAGATTAGAATTGAAGTCATATGTGTATAAAAGTTCTGTCACAGCTGAAGACTACAGAAATTATGAGTGTTCAGTTACAGGCCCTAATAACTAAGAACAAGGCTCCAAATTAATTTCTTCCACCTTTCATGGAGAAGAGAAAGATCTCTTCTATTTCATTTGTTGTTTCCAACTTTCTTCCACAAATGAGATCTCATAGCAGACAATTCAGTTTCAATTGAAAACCTCGTTAAACAGGCATTGCAATAGTAATATTTGCATGGTGTTTTACAATTCAGTATTTTCCAGTAGGACATTTCCAGCAGAGTTGAACAGAAGATCTTATCACCATTCTCTTAACTTCAAAAGGAATAGTTATCAGCAGCTATTGCACACTCCTGCAAGCACCAATTAAAGTTCCTAAAAGTTAATATATATATATATCGACAATGCTTTAACAGGTGCTTGTTCAGATTTGCAATCACATGGTGTCTCAGTGCAGCAGTCAGTATCAGTTACCATCTAACCCTTATATGGGTTTCCAGTGCATATCTACCAAAATCCCATGGCAAAGGTCTTCTTAGTTTGCATATGGTGTTACTTAATAACAATGTAAATTAAAATGCAAATGTTAATTAGCGCCACAGGAAAATGTGCACGGTGACAGTAAAAATACGAAGAGAAGTCCTTATACCGATTCATCTTCAGACCGTAAATCAAAATCTTCATCGACATCTGCAACATTTGACTGAGATTCTGGAAAATAAATGGCAGATTTAGATCACAACGATGTGGGACTAATGCAAAGCTATTTCACGAGTTCTTTTTTCCTTTTGAACAAAGGTAAAGGCATTTGTATTCAATACAACGGTGGAATACCCAAGAGGGATTTCGCAAGAAACCAAACAGAAGTTTATTCTTACCAACATCTAACCCAACAGAAATATTTATCCTCTTTTCATCTCCTTCTTTGTGTTGAATACTCAGTTGTTCCTGAGCAGCTGTGCATGAATGTACTGCTTTAGAAGACATTGGTGAGCTCACAAGGTTTTCTGCTAGCATTGTTGAGTACCTAGTATAAATTCAAAAAAAAAAAAAAACTGCTTTACTATTAACGTGCATAACCAAAATAGCATCAGAAAGCAAATAACCTTGAATATCCCTTCTTATGTACCACAAATACAAGAACCAAGAACAACTTCATGAAAGCAGCATTATACCTTTCAGTTTGCCCCAGAAGAAACTCAAGCTGTTTATCAAGTGCTTTTTTCTTTTTCTCATCAAGCTCTGCTTGATGTTTGTAGAGCACCTGAAATTACAATATTGTGATAGGAAGATATCATAACTAATGACAGAGATTACAGTGAATGAAACCAACAACCATATTATCCTAAATGAACTTGCCAGCTTCTCAATTTTCATCCAGAATTTCTTCACATCCTTAGAAATATTAACTGCTACTTTTCTCAACCGCTGCTCTTCTTCCTGATCGCAATTGTAACAGTAACATTTATTAGTGGCAAAGAAAAATAAACAGGACCATGTACTAATGTACCATCACTACATGAACAACTCTCTGTTCTTCTCCTATCTACTATGAAATGTTTTCATCTGTTGGAAAGGAAATATGAACCTTCACTTTCTTCTCTCCCCTTGTAGCTTGGTCCAACATGCCCTTGCTGGCTCTTATAGCAACCTTCTTTGCCAGGGCCAATTTCCATTTTCTCTCTGACTCAAAGTCCTGCTAACAATTTCTCCAATGAGTACATTAATTAAAAGGAATCTCTACCTCATAAACCAGTATATGTATAGTCATCAAACATGATTTAGATATGAGTGTGTATGCATGCGCACGTGTATGTATAGAATGATCATATGGAAAAAGAGAATAAACTTAAAATGTTGGTTACCAAAAACTAATAAGATATTAATTTCAGAAACTCATCCATTACCTTTGATAACCAAACCATCTCTTCTAAAACATGATCCCAATGCGTTTTAGGGCGCCGAGGCCCTTTAGGAGCTTCAAGTGCCTATATCAGCCAAGTTACCATCAGAAAGACACAAAAAATAGTTTTAAAAAAATTAGCAAATTCACAGCAGAAGATTAAAAAATCTGTCCGGTATATATCAAAGCCCAAATTTTCTTTATCACAACGAAGCACGAAAGTAAAATGATTGTCAATCATTAAAAAATAACAGTTTTTCATTTATTCCGTTCCACACACAAACTGATGCTGAACATGCCTTATTCACCTAATCAATAACAATAACAGCCGCTACCAAGATATTTTACAGGCTTATCATGGTAATACAAGCTGAAGGAAAAATAGTACGCAAAAGAAAACACTGGTTTCAGCATGAATATAGGTGTTATGGTATTCAACATTCAGTGTTGCCAATTCCGTAGATAGACATGTGCTAGGTGTCTATGTTGGTGTATAGGTCTGAGTTTCACAGTGATGAAAATTGAAGATGATCCAAGGACAAAACAATGAGTGCTCTAATATAATCTCAAGTACAATTGCACAACATAATCATTAATTTAGGACTCATTAATTTAATCAAATTATGATGACCAACATCAAAACTCCTAAAGCTGAAGACCATTCGACCAATCAATAAATTTAAAACATTCAAGGTTAGGCATATACCTTATTTGGGAGAATGCACTGTTTTTAACCAATCCTAAATATTTTGAATTCTGTTTTTTGGTGGGGAAGTCAACATTCTATTTATTTGGGATTTCTGTAATCAGATTTGCAAGGAGCGGAGATCTAAATAAGAGACAGATGGTAGTAGTGTCAGAGCCATGTGCAAGTGCAGTTACACCCCCCTTGGATATAACTGTCAGTTCCAATTAGCTAAATCTACTCTCAAATCTTTCATTCGTTGAATCATAAACCATTGTTTCCCATGAAGGAAGAGCTCAAGGGGGTGCGTGTGGGAAAGAGGGAAAGATTCCACTCTATAACCAAATAATGGAATCAAGATAAGCCACATTAGGAATCTACACACCCAAAATCATTTCAAACTACCACAAATTCAATTTCAAGCCAGAAACAACCTCAAAAGACAACAGCACACACCAAAGAGAATCTAATTGCTCTGCAGAAGCCCACAAAAACAATGGCCTCAGTTATGAAAAACAAATAGGAGACCATCAAAGGAAAACCATCCACAAACCCTACATGAACCCCTTCAAAAAACAACCTCAGATGATCTTATCAATCATCCCACTCAAAGCCTCCAATGCCTAGCAAATCTCCTCGCCTTGTTGCAAACTCTTTAAAACTTAAAAAAAAATAACCCAGAAATGCATTAACAAAACAAAATTTGACTATGAATGCGTAAGCATGTGAATTGGAAGATTTTTACACACAAAGGAAAACTTCTAGAGTTCAAATTAGGTCTAGTGTATGCATACAAGATCAAACTAAATTGGTATTTACTTCAAATGTTTTGTTTATAAAATTTAGTACTTTTAAGTCTTTTCTCTCCAATAATATTTTTCTTCTTATTCTTCTCTTTATAATCAATATCAATTTATTAATACTATATCAATCCTTGGTATTAACTTCAAACATTTCATTTATAAACTCCATTAATTTTATTGATTTAGTGTTATTGATGAACTTGATTTTAAATTAGTTGGTTAAGTACCCAGGGTTTAGCTCTCTATACATGAAATTGTTTGTCTCCACTATTTCACATATTATAGAAGACACCATGAGAGTATCACCATATACAATAGAGTACGATAAAAATTTAAAAAAATAAAAACAAAAAAAAGAGAACTTGAAATTATGGGCCCTCAAAAATTAATTCTTCAGTGAAATCAACTGAGTAAAAAAGAAGAATCACAAAGCCTCTCTTTAAGCATAAAACAAAACAACAATAGCTTAAACCTGTGAATCGCTATCTCTCCATCCTCAATGTATACAAATCCTCTCCCTTCAAACTCACTACATCAAGCACAGGTGGAAAACCATCTAGACCTTCCTCACTTTCTTCAAATGGCACCCCTGAGCCCAACTATAAAATTCTAGCCCAAGAGCTGACATAACCCAACTAATCCAAAAATGACAAACAATGAACATAATTAAAAAAAAAAATCTCTAGTTGCATCACAATGAAATGAAGATGAGCACAAGTTTGCAACTTTCCTGCACATGCAACAACGCCAATTAGGAAGAACCAAACCCCCTCATTCACGAATTGTCCAATGTGAAAATTGAGTCCAAAGCTAGAATCTAAACAACAATCGATTGCCACCTTGGTGGAAACTCCCAATTTCCAAATTTCTTCCTACGGAAGGATCTCTCTATGCCACTATAGATAAAAGAATAGCATGGTTTGAAAAAAATCACCCACTTGACCACTTCCACTTCAATTTTTATGTTTTTCAAATATATAAATTTCATTAGTAATGCACCATTTGTGCAACAATGGTACAAATCTGGCATTATTTGTCTCAATATTTAGATGGGATCACTAGCAAATAAAGGCACCTAATCATGTTTCAACTGCATCACCAACATACAAAAAATCACATATTTCTACATTTTATGGTATTGTGAATTCCCTATTGATGCGAAATATAAGAAGCTTAAGGAAGAGTAAATTCAAAGAAGCGGTGATATTTGGAAATTGGAATGGTTTCAAAGAGAAATGGATAGGAACCATACATAATCATATTTCTAATATTATTATAGTTTTATTTTATGATTATTTTTATATTTCTAGGATTTTTAGGCGAGAGGTATTTTGATAATTTTGCCTTCATGGGCTATAGGGATCGCCCATGAGTCGTCTTGTGAGTCAAGTTATTTAATTAGGCTTTGTTTTTATTTCTAATTTAATCTTAAATTAGTTTTGGAAGTCAAAGGCTCTGCTTGGAGTTTTGTAAATTTAATTTCATCCTTTGGTTTGAGTGTGGTGTTTGGTGAGAGCTTTCAAAAATTGATTCCACACCCACTGTCGAAAACACATCTACCCGGTTATCCTCCCGAACGTCCGGCCGGTTGACCGAAACAGTATTTTTTTTTTTTTGGCACCTATTATTTTCATATTTTAAATAAAAAATATTTTCAGAATTTTTTTAAAATTTTTTATGAGCTTTGAAAATAATTTTGAGTTGTGTGTTTGGTTATGAGTTGTAAGTTTTTTAATCATATGTCATATTAAAAATTTCAAACTCAATTCGAAACTCTTTTCAAAACTCATAATCAAACAAATTTTCCATACTCAAACCATAATTCCAAAACTCACAAACTCAAAATACAACTCTATTCTCAAATCATAATTCTAAAACTCTACCAAACGCTACCAAAGACATTTTGATAGTTTCTTATTTTAGTTTTAGTTGATTTAGGAAGTAATCCTATATAAAGTCATGTAATACTTATAATTTAATAGAGTTGATATTTTATAAAAGTTGAGAACTTAGAAGTTTCTTTATGGGTTGTGTAATGCAATCAAATCCTAGGTGTGCTATCAAAGGAATTCTAAGGATGATTCCTAAATCTATGATCTTCTTCTCCTTTCTTCTTCTTTTCTGTTTTAGTTTATTGCAATGTTTTAAAAACCGGACCGGTGAGCGAACCGGAAAAGGGATCGGGTGGACGGGTCATCGATTCAACCGTTGGGTTGAACCGGAATCGAACCGTGATGTAATAAATATATTAAAATTACATTTAAATAAAAATATAAGTAATAAAATTATAAATTAAAAATATTAAATTATCTTAAATATTTGTCCTAATATTTTTTTTACTGAAAAAGATAATAATATATTTTAAAATATTATTAATTTCAATTTTGGAAGATGAAATCAAATATTTAGGGTTCGTTTGGTTTGAATTTCCCAAAAAAATTTTGAAAAATTTCTCTACAAATGAGTTTTCAGAAAAACTCAAACCAAACAAATTTTCTCAAAAAAATTTCCCAAAACTTGTAAACCAAACAAGTTTTCCAAACAAATCTCTCTCTCATACACATCAAATCAATCACTTTTTCCAAAACTCTCTCTCAAAATAATTTTCCAAAACATCTTTCCAAAAAAACCAAACCAAACAACTTTTCGTACTTTTTATCTCCCAAACTCATCTCCCAAAATCAAACCAAACAAGCCCTTAATATTCCTTCTATATGATTTTAATTCAAATAATTTGATTGAAAGGAGAGCAAAAATTTTAGAGAAATATCAAAATTTCAATATTCTCTCCAATACATTTGATTGAATCCCACATGGATTTCTTGAGTTTTTTTGAAAGAATTTTTTCTTATAAATAGGTGAAGACTTTCACAATAATTTCATCAAGCTCTTAATGAGATTCCTCACAAGAGGAGACCCTTGAAAAAGAGTTTCAAATTAAAATTTTCTTATATTTATATATATATAAAATAAGAAAGAAAGAAAGAAAGAAAAGAAAGAAAAAAAAATAAAAAAAGAAAAACTATAAACAAAAAAAATCGAGCCGGACAACCTGGCGAACTGGCTCCGGGTCGACCAGTTCGCCGGTTCAATCGCCGGTTTTTCCGGTTCTCGCTAAATATGCCGGTTTTGAGTTTTGGCCGGTTCAGAGGGTATGTCCGGACCGAAACCCCGACCGGTCGACGGTTCAACCGGTCGAACTGGCCGGTCCGATCCGGTTTTCAAAACCTTGGTTTACTGTTCACGAGTTACTGTTCACATCCTCATAACAGCCCCTAAATAGTGCTAAAATCCCATCTTTCATGCTTAAACTCTTACCTATTTATTACCCTAAACAAATGCTACTTGTCCCCTATATTCTTATTGAAATTGCAGCCATAAAATCCAATTAAAATCAGACCCAAAAGGTTAGATCTGCTGCTGTCCCTAGTTGTCCTGCATCACCTATTCAAGTTCCCGGTCAATCAACCAAATCATCCATGTTTTAGGTAGTAATGATTGATATAATGGTGTGTTGCAAGAAATAATTAAGATGAAGTATGTATAGGAGCTCCTACTTTCATAGTTGAGGTGTTCCCCTTCCAATATAAATGATTGAGAAAATAATGTATCTTCGAAGTTTAGAAATCAACATTTGCAATAATAACAAAATCATTCCCACCTGCCACACAAAGGTGCAACAAAAATGAAATCACAAAAAATAGATTTCAAAATTTTACCTTTTGTCGCCTAGCCCTTGTTTCATGATCAAGCTTAGACCTTGGACCTTTGGAGGCCATGGTTAAATGACAACATATAGCATAACAAAAGGCCTGAGGATTAAAAAAAAAATCATTAAAGATATTTGTTCAACCAATCATTGAACTGGTAGTAAAAGAAAACATTAGAAGAGCACAAAAAGATCAAGATACAAGATATTTCAAGCACATTGTATAAGATCCTCAGCAATGCAACACTAGCTTCAACAAAGTACAAAATGTCAAATCTCGGGAAAACTAGAAAAAAAAATGGGGAGGTTGAGATGAAAACAGAAAAATGAGCACCTGCACGTCAAAACACCTAACTTGTCCCTGTATGATTACTTCCTACCGTGACCAGGTATGCATGTACCTATGCCCAATGAAGCACATGAGAAAGCCCATCATAAATATGTAACCAAAATTTAATGAGATAAATAATCTTTCCTACTTTAAGAAGCCATAAAGAAGAGTGTAAAGTTCTTACTTCTTGAAAGTATGAACCAAACCAAAATAAAGTTCTCACTTCTAGAAGCAGACCAGAATTATGGTTTATGTTAAGTTCAAATTCTCTAAAGAAATAGAATCATTTATGCACACAATCACACACTTTTCCAAAAAGAAAAGAAAGACAAACAATATTTCCGTAAACTTAACTAGACTCCTTACAACTCAAAAATGATATCTCCAAAGGGGGGCTTGCTTTTTTCCCGTGTGATAGATAACCACCACCACACTTACAACGAGTAGACACTGAACCTAATTGAAGAGGACCTAAAAGAGAGGTTACAATATATTAACTTATATAAGAAATGAAGCATACTAAGGCCTCGTTTGGCAACAGGCCGGTTTAGCCAAAAGCCAAAAAGTTACTAAAAAAACCAAAAAGCCAACAACCCATACCAAAAAATCAAAAATTCTCTTCTCTCTACTTTTTGCACATCTTTTCGTAAAAAGCCAAAAAGTCATCCCAAACATACTAGTTTTTTTTAGCTCATATTTTAGCCAAATAGCCAAAAAATTACTAAATTAGCATGTTCCCAAACGAGGCCTAAGTAACTTTTTTTATTTACACCCCCAAAAAAAAAAAAAATCCTTGGGGGTACAAACAAACTAAAAAAAAAACACCCAAATAGTACACATTGATGTGTGTTTGGGAGGGAAAAGATTGGGTACACACCTAACCTTTGGCATAGTGAATAAAGTGATTGCCCCGAGACTTGAACTCATAACCTCAATGTTATTAGGCCAAGGTTTTACCATTGAACCAAACAGACTAGACAGACTAACTATACAACAATATTCTACAACTAGCAAAAACAGACTCCTAAAAATAACAACAATATATTTTTCCATTTTTTCTTAGGGGTCCAAGGTAAAGAAGACTTCAAAGATAGATTGAAGTGTTGGTGTATGTCACAAACAAAAGTCCACCAATCAATTCTTATTTAAAGCTCACCATATACCTCTCTAGGACACCATCATGGCACCCTCCAAGTCAAAATTAACCATTTGGGATTATTTCTACTTTCTTGGACATTAACTACCCATGCGGGACAATAAGTCATGTTAATGACATTCTAGACTATAGATCAATTGACAATTTATATCGTTCTAAAAAACTAAACTAAACTAATAATTTGATATCGTTTTTTAGAACTAAACTAATAATTTGATATCTTTGCCTCATGTAAAACCTTAACTCAATGACCCTCTTCCAAACAGTTGTATGAGGACTCATTAGGTCCAAAACCACTAGCAAGGATGTCCGATATTAGCTTATATTTTTCACATTCAATAGTTTATTAGGGAAATTTTACTAAATATCCATTTTGATGAACAACAGGCCTATCATCACATCAACACCAACTCAAACCTTAGCTCGGTTATATAATGCTCACATCTTCCAACCAGATATTCTTATATAGCCAATAACACCACTATAAAAACAAACCTAACAGCTTGCTGAGTTTCACAAAACAAGAAGCTCAATCCATAACCGTAGGTACTTTAACCATCCTTTATTGGAAGTTCATAAATAAAAGCAATGTCTTGAAAGCAGTACCATAATATGTAAATAGCTCCATAAAATCCCGGTAACCATCAAATTATTAAGATTATGAAAACTACAGCCAATTCCTCACCCCTACCCAAGAAGGAAGAATCATAATTTGAGACAGTGAGGAGTGTTTTTTTTTTTTTTTTTTTTTTTTTGGGGGGGGGGGGTTGTGGCTAGCGGTATTGCATGGCATATTTTTATTTTTATTTTTATTTTAAAGCACAATAACATCAAGTTCAAACTGGAAAGCACAAAATGAAAATAAAGGTTTCAGGAAAAGCATAACAAGGTCAAAATATTGCAAGTCCATTTTTCGTTTCTGAAATTTTATCAAAAATTAGTTGCATTTTTAACATTTCAAAGCAACATCTAGAGGGGAGTATTATCATACACTAAATGCATGTTCGTATCTCCATTAGGTTACCGAGTAAATAAAAGAAAACCCCCCATAAAACCAGAGATCCTCAACTAGTCAAACTAACCCAACTTTCCTTCCAATTTTCTCAACAACCAAATCGACGGTAAGAGCTTTGAAATAAACAAAAACACAGAACCTCAACAAAGAGGTCTACATATATACATACACGCCTATATAGACACACATATCTACACATACGAGAACTCACCGGCTAGAATCTATTCGATCTTTCTCGAAAAATCAAGCAAACAAAGCACCGGTCCTCCCTTCACAGCTCCTTTCGAGTGCAAATAATGAGGGGCAAAAAGAAAAAAACACAAAATGAGAGTGTGGAAGAGAGTTGTATGAGGAGGGGGGTGTAAATATAGACAGAGAGAGAAGGAGATCTAGAGAGAGAGGGCCAAAACCCTAAGGTCAGCCAAGGGTGTTGGCTCTAAGTGATGTTAGGGTTTTCAGGGGGTACTGCTCCAATTTAAGCACCGATAGGTTCCAACGAGTCTCTCAGATCTAAAAAATATACATATACATACATAAATAATTATATATGAATTTGAGTATAACAAGGCTACTCTCTTCTTGTTCTCACTTTTTTTCAGTTAATTTCTTCTTCTTTTTTTTCCACGGAGGTAATGGAATTGGAGGGTCTCAATATCTCTCTGTCTACGACGATGATGAGGGAACCGTAGGGATACAGGTTTTGGATAAGTATTATTTAGGGCTAATGATTGAATATATCCAATCCGGCGGCTAAGGTTTGTTTCTTAATTAAAGCAACTACAGAACGGATCTAACTCAGAACCAAATTTGAGTACATAAAAGAGTTTCAAGCATGGAAGGGGCGAGTGAACTACGGAACGGATCAAGAACACACCCCCCGGTACTAAAAGCCAACTCCGACGCAACAGTGGAAATAGGCATGGCCAACACATCCTTTACTATTTGTGATAGCACTATATATTTTGTTGCATTAACCTTCCAATAATCCAATACCTCAAATTTTTTATTTCTTTAAAGATGCTCAACCTCGGCCAAGTATTTTTCCAATTCCGACTTACTTCCACTAGTAAATTGATCCTCCAAATAGGAACTAACTTGAGACTCAATGAGAGAATGTGAATCATCATCATCTATCACTATTTCTGATACCTCACTCACACTAGGGACTTTCTCATTTGATGAATAAAGTGTGGCATAATGGTTGTATTAACAAGTCAAACAAGTCTTAACCTTATCCACCATGTCATCCACCTTATTCTTATCTCCAAGAAACAAATTTGAGAAACAAAACACCAAGTATATCATCTTTTTTGTAGGATCAAGAACAACGGCAACATACAATAATATATTGATCGTATTCTCATCCCCCCAACACTTGATAAACTTTTGTTTCATACTCTGTGCACAAAATATCATCAAACCAAACCAAGCCTAGCCTAGCCTTTAAGTCCCATCAAATGGGGTCGGCAGCATGAATCCTCTTTTTCCACTCGACTCTATCCAAGGCCATTTCTTCTATTGGTACTACGCCTACCTATTCTCAAATATACTCATTCCTAACTCTATATTTTCTAGTCTTTCTACACATCCACCTTAGCATCTTCATCTCAGCAACACTCATCTTATCTACATGTTTCTTAGTTGCCCAACATTCTGTCTCATACAACAACATTAGTGTAATAGCTGTTCTATAGAACTTTTCTTTTAGTCTAGTAGATACTCGTTTATCACAAGTATCCCAAACGCACTCCTCCACTTAAACCACCCCGCCTTAATTCTATGGACCACATCCGCTCCAATCTCCCCACCCATTGTGATAATCTATCCCAAATAATGAAAATGTTCACTCTTAGATAGTTCTTGATTCTCAATCTTCAATTCTCCTCTGCTTCCATTGTTACTGTTACTAAAATTATACTCGAAAATTAATTAATTGATTGTATTTTCAATAACAAACATTTCTCTAAAAAAAACATTAGATATAACAAAAAGGGACCCCAAAAATTTCTTTGTTACAAGATAAAATAGTTTTAAAAATCTCACAAACAACTTACATTTTTTCCAATCCTCCCCATTCAAAATCCTCCTTATCCCACCATCAACATCCTCGATGTATGTTTCAAGATTGGAATCCTCATACTACAAACAGGAAAAAACCTCCTCAAACTTTTCGGCAGCCTAACATTAAATATGTTGAATTCCATCTTGTGAGTACATCTAGGCATACAAGAGAATTTGTTTCAAATTTTAGTGTGGTCGCACACTGCTTAAAACCATCATGTCAATTAGGAGAAGACCTCACATACCTCACCGCAAGTCTAATATTTGCAATAGGATCATCCATTTCCTTCAACCCATCACTCAAAACAAGATTTAGAATATGTGCACAACAACACATATGTAAAAACTCATGATTCAAGATGGTCCCCTTTCACTCTTTGGTATTTCTTTTCAAGAATTGAACGGTAAGATTATTGGAACTAGCATTATCAATTGTTCAAGTGAAGATACTATCGATGTTGCACTCAAGCAAACATGTCATAATTTTTTTACCCAAAGTTTTCCCCTTGTGATCTTCAACTTATTGGAAATTGATGATTCTTTTTTGTAGTTTCCAATTTAAAGTGAATGAGCCGTTAAGACACATGTAACACAAATTTTGAATAGTTGTCCACACGTCCGTAGTGAATCAAACTCGACGACCCTTCATAGCCTTTTTCAACCTATCCCTTTCAAATTTGAATAGGTTAACCACCTCTCGAGCTATGGTATGACGAGATGCGATTGGTGTGAATTTGGGTTGCATAACATTAAAAAATCTTTTAAACCCCAACTCCCCCTACAAATCTAAAGGCCAACTCATCAATAATAACCATCTCGGAAAGAGCTCTTTTGCAAGGATCAAAATTGAAAGTCGTTGCCACTACAACATCAACACCCTCTTCACCATTTTGTTTTAGTTTAAAATTCAATGTTTGTTGCCCACCTATATCATTATTTGGAAATTTTTTGCAATTGGGTGTATGACCTTTCAAGTTGTTAGTCCCATGAGTCCTCGAGTTGGCCATAAACCCTTTTTGGCAATATTTTCAATACGTTTCTCATCAACCCTTGAACCTTATCAAAATGATCCCAAACCGTGGATTGAACTCTCGCACTACCCTCACTCTTTCTCTTGATTGGGGGTTTAGGCGGCTTAGATTGGGGTGAGGGGACATTAGTATTAGAATTAGAGGATTATGGGGGTAAAAGAGGGTTTGGTGTTGGTGGAGATTCAATACTATGAGTAGTCATTTACTCCATTCAAATCGTTTGTAAACGCCGGTAGCAAAATGAAAATTACATTTGCATATAAAATTACAATAAGATTTATCATAACAGATCAATGTAAATGAAGCCACAATCAATCAACATTCTCATCACCCTTATTGCAATTAAAAAAATAAAATATCAGTGACTAGTTAGTTTTCCTCCAATTGCATTGAAACGATAATGTTGACAACCAAAATTTTAAATATTTCACTTCCAAAATGTGAAAAACAAAATAAAATCATTCAACAGCTAGAAAACATAAACAAAATTGTAAAATCACCCATTTTTTGGGAGGGATTTTTTAGCAACAAACAAATACCCTTCTCAAAAAGAGAAGATACAAAACCAAAAACCAGATTCAAGAGCACAACATTTAATTCAACTAATAACAAATGATTAATCACTAAACCAGCTCAGATTAACACTTGTTCAAAACAAAACACAGACACAATCAAACAAGACCAACACATGACATTTGCAACAGCTTAAAGACAAAGGCATGTAAGTGTAAATTAAAGGCCATCTCAAAAAAAACAAAATTCAGCCTTTCCCAAACCCTAGAGTTTATACCCACCCTCAAAAGTCAATAATTTTGAGTTAAAAGCAAACCTCCAGAGAGAGAAACCATTTGTTTGAAAACCTTATATGGGAATGGGAGTTCAAAACAAACTAGGACATTGAATTTCAAACCCAATAGCAATCTAAACCACATAAAAATCCACACACAAAAAAGAGCTGTCGCAGTGAGAGAGAGAGAGAGAGAGAGAGAGAGAGAGAGAGGACCTTGCTTGTGCTCGCGATTATCGCCAGTCGCCGGTCACCGCCGTAGAGAGAGAGAGAGAGACAGAGAGAACGAGCGAGAGAAGCGAAGGAACGAGGCTGCTCAGTTGCTATCTACGTTTACTGGGAAAAAACAAATCTAGGGTTAGGAAATAAAAGCCAATCTGACGGTGGAAATTTTTTTTAAAAGAAAAAATAAGAAATAAAAACCAATCTGACGGTGGAAATTTTTTTTTTAAAAGAAAGAAAATTAAAATGTGTACGGACGCGGATAGATTTTACAAAATTTGGGACCCATCCACAACCCGTAAACTACCCCACAAGTGGATCCGTACTTGACTCCAGGAATCCCAAAATTGTGCGATCGAGTTCGACCATTTGTGTGGGTTGGCGGGTTGGCCAACTCTATGCCCACCTCTAATTAGGGATGTGCGCGGTGCGATTTGAGAGAAAAATAGAAACCGTATGGCGGGTGACGGATTGATAAAAGTGTCACTAGAATTTGTCATTTTCCTTATCAAAAATCGGCGGTTCGGTTGGCAAATAATGACGGATTTGCCTTGGCGGTTCGGGCGGATTGGCGGTTTATAAAAAATATAATTCAAATTACAAAACTTAAATCAAAGAGTAAAAAAAAGACGAGAGACATCGTGATGTTAAGCATCTTGCGAAGCTTTCTTCTGATGCAGCAAGTGTAGCAACAACATGATAATATCAATGACTATGCCATCAGTTCATTACAAGTATCTGTGGAAGCTGCAATGATCAAATACAATACATAAAATTCCCCTCGAGCATTAATGTAATACTATATTCTAAGGTATAGAACAACAAGCAAACTTAAGTAAAAAAGAATTTTTAGAATCCTATAAAACATGATTTAATAGCGGTGCGGGTCGGTGCGGTTTGGAAGAAAAATAGAAACCGGCGGATTGATAAAAATGTCACTAGAATTTGCCATTTTTCTTACCAAAAACCGACGGTTCGATTGACAAATAATAATGAATTTGCCTTGGCGGTGTGATTCGGTGCGGTTTTGGCGGTTTCGGCGGTTTTGGCGGTATTATGCACACCCCTACCTCTAATTGCGTACTTGTTTAAAGAAAAAAAAAATGTATGGAGATTTTGTCATGGGAAATGAGATGTCTCAATAATTTTATTAAGGTCTCGTTGGAGAACAGGTTAATTTAGTTTTTTTTAGTTATTTAGTTAAAATATGAGTTAAAAAAATTAGTATGTTTGGGATGATTTTTTGACTTTTTACAAAAATATGTGTAAAAAGTAAAGAGAAAAGAGAATCTTTAACTTTTTTGTATGGGTTGTTGGCTTTTTGACTAATTTAGTAATTTTTTGACTTTTTGACTAAAATAGAAGGTTCCCAAACGAGGCCTAAATATTTGATTAAATTTCTTATATAAATGTGAATCTCATAATTATCCATATTCATATAAAATATTTAATAAAATTATTAACATTCATATTGAATCGTATTCATAATGTGCTGGTTTAGATCCATCATAACTCTTTTGTTATATTAGATTATGGTCTTTTAACTATAGTAAAATCATGATTTCACTTCAAATAAAAATTTTCAATTTTTAAATATATTTTGTTTAAGGTAAATTGTTTTGTTCTGACACATGTGGATACGTGAGATAACATTGCCTATTTTTTCTAGAAAAATAAATCATTTGTTTTTACAAAAATTTGAAAATCAAATTATTAGGTTGATATAGTTTATATTATTCTCAATTTTTTTTATTTTTTTTTTAGAAAAAATTATTTATAAATCCTATTAGTGAGACTTATGTTACATATGGTCCTACTAAAAAACTTATGTTCCCATAAGTCCTGTGTGAAGTTTGTTGACACATTTACTCCCAATATTAGTTGTTAATATCATAAATAATGGTAAAACCATATATAGGAAATTGAATGTTAACATATATTAAATTTGCGAAACGTAACGTGACACCTACATAAACGTAACATAACGTGACACCTACATAAATGTAACGTAACGTGTCATGTTACGTTTCGCAAACTTACTAGGTTTTTGATTTTTTAAATTGATTGTGAAAATGTTATTTGTTCGTGTATTTTGAAATTCACATTAATATAGATATGGTCTATGGTAACATTCAACTTCCTATATAGGAAAATGAATGTTACCATAGATTAAGTTTGTGAAACATAACGTGACACCTACATAAACGTAACGTAACGTGACCATATCAGATAGGACATTACATAAACGTAACGTGGCGTGACACCTACATAAACGTAACGTAACGTGACACCTACATAAACGTAACGTAACGTGTCACGTTACGCAAACTTACTAGGTTTTTTATTTTTTAAATTCAATTTCCTATATATGGTTTTGCCATTATAGTGTATAATAGTATATTAATACCATTTATTTACAACTCATAGGATCTTGTCGAATACATTCCTATCTAAATAGGACTTGAAACTCTAAAAGAAATTATACAGGACTTAATCTATCATAAGTGTCTGAAATATGGCTTATAAATAAGCCTCCTTTTTTTTTTTACATTTTTCACAACTCTAGTCCCAAAAAAATCTCCAAAAAAATCTCCCTACATTTTTCATCTCTTTTCTTCCTAACCAAACTTACTATTAAAGTGATGAGTATGATAATTTCATGATGTTAGTAAATGGTAAGACTTATGATATGGGTTAGACGATGGCTAGTTGGACTGTATGGGCTAGATTCTTTCTCAAGGCACTAGCAAAATAAGCCCTTTGGATGCATCATGGGATATTGGTTGTCTAGGGACAAGTTAAAATAGGGCCTGTTGGCCTTGTTTCTCATGAGATTGGGTGAGGTAATCAAAAAGGGGTTCATAAACCAGACGAGTGGGCAGGTGTGAGTAAGGAATGATGCTTTAACTTCTTCTAATAGTCCTTTTCAACTTATAGCAAGTATTAGGAGAGAAAGTGAACCTCCTCGCTAGAGGTTTGCTCTCAGAATCTTGTCACTATCATTAAATTTCTTTTATAGTAAAGAGGTTGGGAACTCTCTCTTGGCTCTTTGCCCCTACCACCCAAAAGCATAGGGCAGAGAGCCCATAAGGAAATGAGTGACAGACCTAATGCTTGTAGCTCTTTCCTTCCTCAGGGAGAGAAGCGAAGTGCATGAGAGAAGGTAAGGGGGAGCTAAGATGTTTTTTACCCTCTTGCTTGCACGAGACTACGTAATTGTAGCTATCAATTCTCATATCGTTATTCCTTCCTAGGAATAGAGTAAATGATGCCCTTGTTGTAACTCTCTGATAAGAAATATAAAGTAAATTCCCTTATTTCACCATTAGTGAATTAAGGAAGTAATGCTTTGAGTTTTCATCTGTCTATTCCGGCTAAGGCATAGGGTAAGGATGCCCTTATTGTAGCTCTCCGAGAAAGTGTTAAGCAAATCACCTTATTTAACTATAAGTGATTTAAAGAAGTAATGCTTTGAGTTAGAATCTCGTTATTCCTGACTTTAGAAATGAATAGAATAAGGGATGTCCTTATTGTAGTTCTTACCCTTCTAAGTAGTAGCTAATCATCCATCTGTTCCTGACCTTAAGAAAGAATAGGGTAAGGATGATATTTCATTTCTATCTGTTTATTCTCTTATCAGTAGAAGAAAGTAGTCTTCTTTATCCTATGAGCTAACATAATTCTATGACCATGATATAGGGTCCCATTAGACTTTTAACTGAAGTTGGCAACTAGTCACCGAGCTGGGTATAGAGCTATCTCTCTTCTTGGATGTTGTTATTCCTATGCTAGTTCTCTTTTTTCTTATCTGAATAGTTAGTAGTGTTATCCCAAGGGATATTAGGAATTCTTCTCCTGGTTGTGCCTCTGTTTTCCCTAGAAAGATCCGTTATAGATAAAATGATTGAACAAGCGCTTGAAGACCGATGGTCGAGAATAGAAAAAGTCTTTTAGTACCTAGAGGCCAATGACTTGTTAGGCGTAGTAGAATCATGTTCTAGTTGATTTCTAGCATAGGGTGAAATGGTTAATTAAGTAGATTCCTCAAGCAATCGGGCTCCATTCGTCTCTCAGAAACGATAAAGCAAGCAGTAAGTTGAAAAAGCGCTTTCCCCTTTCTATGATAATGAATAAGGTAAGCTTCATAACTCCAACCTATACAAGGGGCAAGCCAAAACCAGTTGAAGAAAGGGCTTCATAGCCTTACCTTAGAGCTAGCACTAATTTTTGGTTTCAATCAAGCTCTCTGATATTCCTCTCATTGAAGGCGTCACCATTTTTTTTACTAGACCAATCAAAGCCAATCAGTCTAATGTTTGTAATATGGTCCTATTGCCTTTGTTTAGCTAACATCTCTATCATTTTGATCATTCCTGTTTCTCGGCATATTCGCAACGAAGGCCCTTAAGCCATTCATGTTTTGAACGAAAAGTAAGTTAAGCATCATTCCTTATTCAACAACCAATTAAAAAAGCAAGGCATGGGGGATGTCTTTCATCCTAAAAATGACTAGTCACTTCCCAAATGCCTTTTTACTTTAGTATAGTCTAATCTTTCTAATGCCTCATTCCTTACCACCAACGTACACTAATAAAAAAGTAAGCAAGTGACCTTACTTGCATTGTAGAAACATTAGCTTCCGCACCGTATATATCAGCTAAAATTGATGTAAATGATCGTGACAGCTATTCAAATCTTATTTAGTTTGATTATATATGTCACTAAAACAAAGTGATTCCATCTATCTCTGTTTTATTTTCGGATTTTGAGGATGAGCCGGCCGATCATAACTTTATCTATGACGAGCCGGACAGGAGATGTCCTTTCTAAGGGTTCTCCGATGTTAAAATTAGCAATAACCTAAAAAAGAAGACAACAAAGATTCAAAGATTAGGGTTTTCAAATTGTGTTATCTTGCACAATTTTATACACATGTATAGTCCTTCAAATCTTCTACAAAATTTCCTTGCATGATTGGAAAAGTAATTTCATTATGTCTTTCTCAATTGGGGAGTGTCAGATAATCCTTTTCTATTTGTGCACATTTTGTAAGGTTACAAGGTGTGAGACACATTTCTTGAATGGTGATGTGGGCACTCCATTTTGACCAACCTTAAGACTTTTAGCGCTTGAAAACT